CAAAGTAGTGCGAAAAACCAGGCTGCAACTCTTGCATATCTTTCATGCTTGTTCTTTCAGCCTTGAGGATGTTTTCTTGGTTAGTCAACTTTAAAACCATCTATTGTATACACAGCACTATTTAAAAACAGCACTCAAGTGTACAAGATAAACATGTGCTCCTACTGAGTTACTAAACATGAGATAATAAATTTGCATCCCTCTAATTACTACTGCTACCGTGTAGCTGCCTTCAACGTACAGAGCAATACCAAACAGGAGACCCATGCCAAGGAAGCCAGAGGCCCTGTGTGCAGAAAAAGGCCAGCGCTCTGGAAACACAAACGGAGCTGTGCAAGAAAGAAATTCAGCAGTCACCAAAAACGGTTTCTGCCAGACGTTAAATCTGTGTATCCAGGATCAGGAGGGAAGCTTCTTCCTACGAGTGGGAAGGCTCTGCCACTCGGAATCCATGGGGAGAAGCCCCAAGGTTGCAGGGAAAGGAAAAGGCTCTAAATTCACATTTACGCACAAGTAAAACGTGAGTAGCATGGAGGGGAAGGGAAGAGCTGGAGGGCTTTGCCAAAGGTGCCAGGAAGGATGCAGAGCTCCTTGCAGATGTTCTGTGCAAAAAAAAAGAGTGAAAACATCCAAGAGGATGAGTTTCCTGCAGATTTGTGGTCCATGCCCCTGCACCCACCGCTCCACGCTCACCCCTCTCTGCTCTGTCTTCCCTCTGGCAGCCTCCAGCCGCTTCGAGACTTCTCCTCCCTGCTGGATCTGGTGGGAACCAGCCAAAAGGCTGTGTGCTAGGGAGGGAATGGGGACAGACAGACATCGTCACCAGCACACACACACCTCAGTTCCTTGGAATCCTGGCTAAAAACACCCCGGCTCTGAAGCAGAAATGCTCATGAAAAGGTTTCATAACACCTTACCAAGGAGCGGTATCAGTATCACTATCTCTGCTTTATGGCTGAAGCACTGACTGGTCATGACATGCCTCAAGTCACCCATCAGATAGCTTTTACTCCTGGCTCTGCCAGCTGTTTCCCTGTTCCAAGCTGGTGCCCTACAGTGGAGCCATCCCAAACCACAGGCTGCAAGAGAAGAGAGCTGCAGGAGTCAGTATGTGAGCATCGAAATGCTCTTTGCAGACAGGAAGGGAAGGAAATCATGTTAAAGGTATGATAGAAACCGAGAAACCAAGAAATGTTCTCAAAAAGGCAGTACCTGCCTCCAGCACGTTCAATGCACAAGGTGTTGTAGTTGCACTTCATGAAAAGGCAATATAGGACAAGACTAACTTCAATTACCACAGACCACAGAAGTGATTGCTTTAAGTAAGAAACAAGCCAGGCCAAAACAGAAACCCCACACGTCTGAGCGAGGGAGACAGTGGGATCTGAACGCCAGCTTTCTGATTTGGTGTCTACCATGCCTCTGTCATGACCCGAGCTGAATGCTTTGATCCAAACACTGTCAGACCTTATCCTGGATTAAATTTTAGCTTTGCATGCTCTTCTCAAAAACCTGGAGAACCCACTTGAAGAGACCCATCATGTTTCTATTGCGCTTCAAATCTACCCATGCATGACCAAAGATCTGACCAAATCTTACCAAGGCAAATTTTGTACTCTCTTTATTCCATTTGGGTGTGAAAAGGATAAAGTATTCAGCCAGGAATCATTTAAATGATCCCTTCCCTAAGAAAACAACGATCCTGGCAAGCAATTTCCCTTGCCTTATCCCTGAGGTTTCAAATTTTTCATATCAGAATAGTTCCTTACCAGGGGAAGAATGTGTCTATCTTTATTAAGTTGAACCTAAAGAAAAATAGAAAGAAGACAGGAATTATTGAATTTACTTTTTAATACCATAAAGTCTATGAAAAAGCAGCACGAATTGCCCTTGTATTTCCCTGTAATCAAGAATCGCATACTCCTTCCTCGTATCTCTTCCTTTCTGTTTCCAGGTGAAGATCAAGGATGTAATTTCACCTGTGCTGCACCATAAAAGAGGAGGCAGGCAACGAGGCCTTCGTCTAACGCCGCGAGGCTTGACCACTGCCATCAGCTTGAACGACTAGAAAATAAATCAAGCGAAAGCATGTTAGCAGAGAGGAAGGCCTTTCAGGAGCATGGTGGTTTGATATGTGAGGATGCTCCCTGAAGTGAGTGCTCCTCTCCCTCTGTTGCGAGCATGATCACACAGTGGGCTCGGGAACGCTGGATGAAAGCCACCTGCAGCATCTTCAAGGGTCAAACAGTGTTCAGATAAGGCACGAGTCTGATTAAGATCCACGAGAAAGCCTCCTACAGTCTCCGTTCCAGTAGGACAGTTTACAGACAAACAATCAGCACCCACAACTCCTCGTCCCCCACACCAGATTTGCCAAAGCACAAACAGAAAGACACAGAACCACAGAAGCAAGCAGAGATGCTTTAACCACGACCTATCTTTTCTCTACCCAAGCACTTGGGTTTTCCAGCAAGATACGGGCACTCTGACTGAACTCATGAGAGTGCAATTTCGGTTTCAGCTACGCTGACACCAGCTTTGCGCGGCTACCATCAGATAGCTTTGTTTGCAACATTTCAAAGTCCTGAAGGAACGTTTAGAAAGAAATACCTTCACTGAGCCTCAAATGTTTCATGCCGTAAGCCTTAAAATAGCAACCGTAATTTAATTAAGGGGCATCTACCCTGCTTACATTCGCTTTCCTGAAGGAGTAATAGCCACTGCTCCACACGTTACCTTTAGCACTGGCCTGATCAGACTGCAGGCTTTGTGTTGGCACGGTGGTTTCCCTCTCTGACCACGGACAAACACCGCTCTCCGTTGCTTCGAGGCTCCAGCCCAGACATGCCAGGCAGCTTGATGAGCACGCACAGGTCAGCAAGCAGGCCCAGGGCTCAAGTCTGTAACCAAAAAATCAGCTGTCGTATGCCCCACCGGGGCATAAAGTTAACAGAGCTCTCCCTGCTCCTTTCAGGCCATGCTTAAGCACTTAATGGGAGCATCTGGGAGCGCTGGGAGATCTGGGAGGGAACTGGAAGCTGCTGGTCCCAACCTGGCTGCAGAGCAACGCCAAACCTGCAACTCTGACCCAGTGTGCCTGCTAAGGTGCTCCGTCCAGCTGGTAGTAATCAGCTCGAGTGGAACGAGTAACAGATATTCAACACCTAAAATCTGTGAAACATTTGCATTACGGTGAAAAATTACCCGCGTATTATTTTGGTGCGTGGTTTATACTAAGGAGGCTTCCTCCAGGGACTGAGCCGTAGAGCTTGGTCTGAACCCAGCCCGTGCAGAGCCAGCAGCCCTCCCCTGGAGAGAACAAAAGACGTCCTCCCAGCATTAGATGCACCGAGCCTGTGTTTACACGGGGAGCTGCTAATAACCAGAGCCGGGAATTCCAGCACAGGAGCTTTGTATTTATTCCTATTTCTCATTACTACTGGCCGTGCCAAGTTCGGGCACTTTAAGCTGTGAGGGCTGCTATCGCACGCTGCTTTATCAGCCTTTCACACAACTGCGTGACCGAAGCATCTCGATAAGAATGTCTAAAATGTCTGCTATGCTTTAAAACAGCAAACCCTTCCTTTTCTGCTCTGACCCAGCCATTTCAGTCAACAAAGCTCCTTCCACTCTTCCAAAACACTTTCTACTCACTTAATGGCTGTGACCATACCGACTGCCTTGGAAACTGCTGGTCCCCAAAAATAATGCAGCGCAGCTATTTATTCGTGCTGGTGGCTTGGCGTGGTATTTGGAGGACTACCATTTCGCAATATGGAACGAAACATGGACATCCATCTTACGACAGGGGCTCTACCACACCTCAGCCTTCACACACGGAACATTAATGCAAGAAAATCACTGTACAGAAACTGTGCAACTAAAACAAACAACTTACCAAAAATGGCATACGTTTTTGCACTTGGTTTTATATTCTTAGGCTCAGCTAAGATCAATATATACACAGATACGCATGTGTGCCTGTGAGTACACATACCCATTCATGCCTGCATTTCTCGGGAAGGTGCTAGTCAGAGAAGAGCAGTCAGGACTGTAAATGCCATCTCTACTACAATGAGCAAAACTGGTTTTATTTCTTGTCATTCTGTTTTTGTTTGTTTGTTTTTAAGTTTCTTACTGGTCTGATTTGGTTTCTTTTAAAAGAGCTCAAAAATGTTCCAGCATTAACCTCCAAAACCTGGCTTCTCTAAGGCCACTCCATGCCTTTAAAACACAATTTGACTGCAAACCTACCTATATCGTAACAGCTACCATCGGAATTGAACGTTAAAAAACCACATTGTGAAAGCTCCCTATCCCCGCACTCACTTCATGCTGCAGGAATTCCACTTGGGAAGGACAACGAAGGGAGAGGTGGAGTGGGGAATGCACAGCTAATTAGCGAGGTTTCACAATCTAATTTAACCTGCCAACCCATTCTTCTGCCACTCTCACACAGGTAAATAGGATGAAAAGCAGAAGGTCTGAGCTCTTTGCGCTGTTACTCCTCAATTCCACCATTTCTGATCGTCTACCTGGGCACTTCTGTCTCCTCAGCAGCCTGCCTCTCCTGCGGAGCTTGAGACCACCACTTCCAAAGCCTGGCAAGTTGTTCACTTTCAGCAAGATGAGCAGGAGCTGATGACACTTAGCAGCACGTGTGCTTTTGAGAGCACGATTCAGAATCTTCCCTAAAGCCAAGTGCATTCCCTGCAGTCCCCAGCAAGTCACCCAAGGCCGAGTGATCCTTGAGAGCATGTGTAACAACGCTCTGGGATACAGCTGCCCTGCACAAGCACACGGCACAGACTCGTGGGCTTGTGCTGAGTGGGCTCAGACGTTTTCAGGGCGACGCTGCAGGGCAGGGCTGCACAGACACACTCCTCTGACTCTCACCAGCAGAAAACCAGTGTCAGGCAGCACCCTGCTCCGCCTAATTAGCATAATCAGGGAAGATGTAAGGGGAGAAGCAGCACTAATTAGCCTGAGCAGAGCACCTTGTCAGCCTGGGAATCTCTGCACAGGGCTCTGATGCATAACTAGATGTACCCGGTGCGACCGGGCCTTTCGTGCTCCCTGCAGGCAGCAGCTATTTCACTGTGGCCAAGAACTAGGTGCTGAGAGCAGTGTGGGGCAACTCCTCAGTTCTTCATGCCTTTTCTTTTTTTTTTTTTTGAAGCAAAGATCCGCAGAAGCCTTGCAGCTCGATGTACCATGCTCCTGCATTGCACGTGCTTACGTGGGTAACTCAACAATCTTCCTTGGCATAGTCTTTTTTGAGAGAGGGGGATCCTATTCTGTGTCTCGTGTATTATTATTATTTTTAATTTTATTCTACGGCATTATATATACTTAGAGGGTAGGAACATGCTGCTACACAATCCTTTCACTACTTCGCTGTTGCCTTCCCCGTCTCAAAATACTCTCCAGATGGAAGGAGTTTATTTGTAAGGAGGAAAGCATAAGGCTGACTGAAGAAAAGTGATAATTACATTAGAATAATAATAACAACAACAAAACCTGGAGCTAATGAAGACTGCCTGCTTCATTTAATTTAGGAAGAGGCTTCACCCTGTAATGAAGACACATGGAGCTCTGCAGCTCGTTCACCCCTTCTCCAAATGTCACCAGGAGCATCGCCGAGCCAAATCCCTGCAGCTGAACTGGTCTGACTGGTCAATGAGCACAAGAAGGAAAGCTTGGACGTTTATCTCCTCCATCGCCCGGCAGGCTGTCCCTCGGGTTGAATAAAGACGGTTATACTAACCTGGTAATGGATCCAGTAGAAGCAGCAAGCAGCCTGGTGATTCCCACTGGGGATCTAACGGGTGCCTGAGCTCAGCAGGACGTTTGGAGGACCCTCCTGCCTCAAACAGCAGCGGTACATGGCACAGACTGAGTGCCAAAGGGATGATAATTGTGCCAAAATAATAATTTTGCCTTTTTTTTTTCCTCGTAGAAAGCTGACTCTTTAACAAAGCCACTTGCAGTGCGTGCTTTCACAAGAAAACAACCAACACTCATTTTGAAAACTCCAAAATAGCCCCAAGACACGTGAGCTGCACACATGAGAAGTGTTAGCTCCTCCGGTGCTCTTCCTGTTGCTCTACCCAGTGTCAAACTGGCTCTTACTGCACCGGAGGTTTGTGTTACCTAGGGTCCCCTTTTTTTGTTTTTTTTTTTAACTATTAGCATCAGCAATGCTAGGTCAGGCTGCTGAGAAGAGAGGTTTTACCTGCCAGAGGGACGAGCTCCTGGCAGATGAAGGCTTAAAGCCCATTTTACCTGCTGCTTCCCTGGTGCTGCTCTCTCCACTGCAAGGGATCTCTGCAGCTCTGGACAGGCGTCCACTCGTCAGGGAAGCCAAACCCCATTTTACTCGGCTTCTTTCAGCTGTCACAGCTTTTGTAATGCTTTAGCAGGACTTACTGCACTCCCCAAGTTGGAAGTGAGACAAAGAGAATTTAGAAACCACCACCCCAAGCCTGACTGAAGGTTACCAGCCCCAGAAAGCCACAAACAACCTTCCTCTCCTCATCTAACACAACCTTCGCTCCCCAAACAGATTTCTTCTATCGCTGCTGAGTACACTAAACTCGCTTTGCCCTAGTGGGGAGGGTTTCTTTATTATTTAAAGAGCTGTCAGGGAAATCCACTAGAAATAAAAAAAAAGACTGCAGCGCCTGAGGTTTCATTAGCCTGTCCCCAGTTCTGACACCTCAACAGGGGAAGAAGCTCAGAGCAACCCTGGCAACCCGCTTCTTTATCTTCCTCTTGACCTTTGTGCCATCAGGTGCCTCTGAAACATTGATCAGTGCGGGTGGCTGGAAGCGCCAGCGCTGATTAACAACCAGAAACATGAAGCTCACTGAAAAGGAACACAGATAGCATCAGCGTTGCCAGCTTCTCTACGAGTATCTGCATCTAATATCCCTCCCCAACATAAGCATCCAGGGTCAACGTGCCTGGCAGGCTGCAAACAAACCTGGAATCAATATGAATGAGCAGGTTGTACAGGACAGTGTTCTGCTATGGGGGGCTCCTGATCCCTTTAAATTAACCCACCGGTTTACAGCAGCCTTTCCTTTTGAACAGGCACTCCAACCAGCACATGGAAAAAAATAAAAAAAAAACAACCTCCCTTCTAGAAGAGCTTAATTTATATTCTCTTCCTGCTGCTGCCACCAACGTTATTAGCACTGAGAGGAGCACCAGCAGGCTACTAGATACCGCCGGGGTCATTGTGGGCGCAGAAAAACAGCTCGCTGACACAGCACCACCAAAAAAATACAATAAAAAGCAGCAGTGAGGCAGAAGAGCAGTAAAAGAAGAATTCTGGCAGCCACGGGACACCTGTGTTTTGGTCAGCTGCACCCCAGCCACCACCTGCAAGGAGCAGAGCAGCCCTCGTGCCGCGCTATCCTCCCCGTTCGCTCCCAAGACTTCTTGGTTTACGCTGAAGCCTCTTGGACCAAGCAGTGCTGCCAGCGAGGAGCTGAAGCCTCTCCAGCTGCTCTCACCAAATTAAAAAGAGGAACAGCCATAAGGCACGCTGTCCAGCTACAAGAGATGCCTTTTCCTCGCGGAGCAGGGCGCTGCAGTCACTGGCAGAAGCGTTCACCTGCCCGCCGTCCTCAGCTTCCTCGCTCCGACGCACCAGCACTGCCTGGACTTCCCTCACGGCAAATCGTGAAACAAAGCTGACAGCGAAAAGCTGGGGCAGCAGTTAAAGAGCCTGCCAAAGAGAAATCTGTTTGCTCAGGCAAAAGCTGTTCTCAGTCCAAACATGGGAGTCATAATCTTACAGCCATTTGCTTGGAAGACAATGAAGGGAAGGCGGAACAGGCTGGGAAACTGCAGCTTGCCACAGAGAGAGAAGAGAACAATCTTTGTGCCCAGATTTCTTTGCTCTGCAGGGTAAGTTTTACAGAGCTGACAACCGGTAGCAACATGTAGTGGCCCCAGGCATCATGCCTGCCTATCAAAGACTTGGATTTTAGCCCTGGAGAAATTACAACTTCTCCGTTCTCTGGAAGCTCTATCGGCCGAGAAGAAAGCGAGAGAGTAATGAATGACCTAACCAATAATTATTTTAATACACGGATTGCATACTGCAAGCGATAAATGCAGAGGTGCCTGGGGTGCGGGGAGAGCTGGGGGAAGAAGGGCAGGTGGGGAACACCTCGGGTTTGACAGCAACGGGATACCCGCAGGTTACAAAAGGCAACCAGCGGGGCTGCTGCAGCAGCACAGTGCTGGAGGGTAGGGGCTGGCACTCCAGATCCAAGTATGGATCCAGCAGATAAGCAAGGGAGACAAAGGAAGGGGAAGTTCAGCCATCCAGGTTGAAAAAGGCAGCTCAGGAGGGGCCAGCAGGAATGCAGAGCAAGAAAGAGGCAATCTGGGCTCACCATGCACGCTCAGAGCAGTGGCTTCGGGGACGGCGAGCCAACCTGGCGTGCAGCAACACCTCCCCCGGCCCATTTTGCTTCTGCCCAGGCTCAGGAGCTCTGCTGCGTGTCTGCAACATCCATTTTCACCCACTGTTCATCACTTACAATACGCTGCCAAACCTGAGGCCTCGAGGTATGGTCGGAGTTGGCTTATTTTTTATTTTTTCAGCACTGCAAGAGGCCCGAACTATTTCAACTTCCCCTCCCAAATGTCAGCCTTGAGCCATTCTGGTCCGTCCAAAGGAGGAGAGTGAATGGAATGGGACCAGAGCAAGAAATGGCTGAGAGGAGGAGGCAGAGAAGAAAGGGGCTGGGGCTAAACTCAGCCCCCGAGATGCTCGGTGGGGCTGCACCCAGCCCTTACGCAGGCTGCTTCCCACCGAAGTCACGCGCTGCAAGGCTGTCAGAGCGAGGAACAGGGATGTTTACTATCCTGCCATCTGCAGTTTGCCCAAAATAACAGCCACAGATATGAGATCAACCGAAGACGCTTCAGTTATTGACACATGCTGGAGTTAGAGATTTATTTTCCGTTTCCCACAAACTGTGCCAGAGGTTTTAGCACAAGTGCAAAAAAAAAAAAAAAAAAGTGAAGAAATGCCAGCGAGCGAGGCACACGAAGAGTTTATTCATTGCTCCTGTCAGAATGTGTTTGTGCTTGTGTGGCTAGCACTCCAAAAAAGCTGCGGCGTATGTTTTCAGGATGGAAAAATCCTCGGGATACCTAAGCCCCACCAGACAATTACCAAATTGCATGCTGGCATTCACAAGGTGCCCTTCTGCAGGAGCACAGCAGCCTCACCTCTCCTCGTTTTGACCCCTCACTAAGCGAAATAACAGTCCTCCTTAACAGCTCCTCCTGACATCTCATTTTCTCTCTGCAAAAGCGAAATATGGACTTGATTTGTACGAGCCCTGTTATTCCAGAAATGCTCTTCATCCAAATGAGGAGAGCAGGAGAGAGGAAGCGAGAAATTGGTGCTGTTTAGTAAACAGGCAGTTTCTAGGTGGATACGAGATGCTGGTCCCAATTTACTGCCCACCCCCCACCCCCAGCTCTGAAATTTGCCTCGGTGGCAGAAGGAGGAGGAGGAAGGGACGAGCTTTCCGCCGTGCGAAAGGTCCCAGCGCCACAACACCCTGCAAACACCCAGGGAAAAGAGAACGGGATTTTTTTCCAGCAATATCATTGTGCGCTGGTATTTCCTCTCAGCAGAAAGGGCAGAAATACCACCCCTCCTCGCTTCTGCTATTCCTGTCTCCCGGAGAGGGTGAAGGAAAGAGGGGAGGGGAGAGGAGGAGCCTGGCCAGCCGCCTCCTCGCCACAGCGCTGTCCTGCACGCAGAAGCCAGCAGCTCTCAAGGAACTTCCAAAGAGCTCTCCATCGCCTGTGCATGACCCCTCCTCAAGAAACATGCCCTCCATGCCAGGGGGAGAGCACTTTTTGAGAGCACTTCCTTCCCATCTGTACCTGGTGAGAAGGGTGCTGCTCCTTCCTCGCAAGCCCGGGCCTCGGGAGTGTGACTTGGGGGTCTGTCACCTCAATCACAGGCCGCCTGAGGTGGGCTCGTTTTAAACCATTCAGGACAGGGCAGAAGGTAATCATCACGCTGAGGGCATCTTGCACAGGTCCTCCATCCCCTGCGAAGGCTGATGATCACCTCCCTCCCTCCCTGGTGCAGTTTACCTGGCCCATCTTGAACACCGCACAGGGTACGGGACCGGGGAACGCTCTCCTCGGCATGAGGTGGTGCTGCTGTTGCAATCACCTCCGCTGATTGCAACATCTCCAGCAGACAGCTCCTGCTATCCCAACAGCTTTGCATGCTAGGACAGTTTTTTATTTATTATTATTATTATTATTTAAGGCTGCCCTCCTCTGCCCTAGGAAGTCAGCGTGCAAAGTAAGCCCTTGTGGTTTCAGAGCAGGCTTTCAAAGTGTGGGAATAAGCTGATACGGCCACGTCTGCTTGGATACACAGGCAGGGAGAAGCTCCAGCTCTCAGAGGCCCCTTATTCAGCTTAATGAGTTATTAACTTGGCAACTTAGAGCTACTAGTTACCAACGATTCCCAATGTCAGCTTTGTTAACTATTTCGTGGTAAGTACCGAACTTAATACCAATACAAACTTCATACTGCAAATACCATCTTACCTAATTTTGAATTTCTCAAGTTTTTTTTTATGACCAAAAGAAGGATTATTCTCAGACCTGGCAGGCAGGCAGAGAATTCTTGTTTTCCCCTCTTTTTAAGGATGCTTACATCTGATCTGTACATCTGTCCATTTCAACCCAGAAACGCAGTGAGCTTCATAAGAAAAACAATGACCATAAAAATAAAACGAACTGATCAAAGGAACAGGAATTCGGAATAGCAGATGCAAATAACCACATTTGCATTCCTCTAATTTGGAAGTAGCCAAATGATTTTCATCGATGTATAAGCATGTGTACAACTCCTGAATCTGAACTGCGTATTGCTGAACTGTCATCCACAATATTTTTCATTTTTGTTAGGCTACACCATCACGGGGCCTTCGAAAGACAGACTATATATTTAGCTAAAAAACAATAGTAATACATTAAATAACTGTCATGGTCTGAGGAGAAGAAACACAGCATCTTTCCTCAGATATCACCATTCTGCCCTTGAAATCATTGAAAAAAAAAGGAGTGATAAGGAGAAAAATTAAAAGACTGGCTTTGCAGCCTAACCCAAACACACCTACCCTTGGTTCCAGCACAGCAAAAAGATGCTCAGTACATCCCACGGATTGGAGCAACCACTACAACGCAGATACCCCCACAGAGAAGACACAATTGCAAATATACATTTGGCGACATAAACTCACAACATTCACTATGTTCTTCTTCAGGGAATTGTGGATTATCCTGTAGCATGAAGATTTTTCACAAGTTGCTGGACTGCTCGCAGGGCTTCACTGGCTTTCCTCTTTCAAATAAGGTGAGATAGAGCTGTAAAAGATAAGCAAAACACACTAAGAAAGGAAAAGTAAGGACTAAAAGGAGGAAAATCCATACAGCTCTTTAGCAAATGATCAACTGATTCATACATTTCCTTGAAGTGAATGCATTTTTAATGGGCTCCCAGGATGGAGATTCCAGTGTAGTGTGCACGTCAAATGCTGATCTAGAACAGGAAGAGTCATTTACTCTGTACTTCTTATTACCAACGATTAAAAGCCAGTTTGGAGTTGCTGAAACATAATTAAAGCAGTTCTTGGATAACTCTGTTGCCATAAGAAGGGGAAGAAAAAACTACTCTGGGTTGTTCTGATCAGTGTCCGCAAGCAAAGCTCAGCATGTGTGAAGAGACCCATACAGGAAGGTTGTTGTTCTCACTGAGCTCCTCTCAGGGGACAGGAACACCTCAGCATTCCTGCAGTTACCTGTAATATTGCGACAGAGGAGTACTGAAACCTAAAATATGTACATGCAGGATTGCCACTGTTCAGTATTAAGTGTATTTCACATCATGTTTCCCAAAGGACATGTCAGCCGTCATTCCAGGTGGAACCCATGTTCCCCAACTGTGAAAACCAAGGCCTACACCTGAGCCAGTCCCAGCTCTCTTTACATTCAGTGGAGAAAAGTCGGCAACCTAGAAAATAATTAAATTTGACCTATCTGAAGCATCTACTTCAGGACGGAATGAATCACTCTCCAGAAAGGCCTGCTTCTTTCCCTCCGTAAAGTGAGTCTAGACGCTTAGCTCAGACTGGATGGCCGCAGACGAATGCAGATGAATCTCGCCCGACGTGAAGCGAAGGCAGGAAACGAGTCAGACAGACGGACAGGAGCAGCTCATGGGTGAAGAGTAAGGGGAAGGCAATGCAATGGTAGCAGGCAGGGGAAACTACTGGAAGTTACAGCCCTAAGACAGTCCATTTTAGTTGAACCAACAACAGCAAGGCCCTCCTAAACCCAAACCACTGTTTCCCCAGCTGATCCAGCCGGCTTTGGTGTGAGGCTGGGGCTAGGTCCTCACAGAGCTGTGAACAATGTTTGCCATCTCCTCCGGCGGGCTGGGACTCTCCCTCGCACACTGGTAACGATGATGATGAGGACTACAATCATCAGAGAGTCTTTGCCCTCTCCCTGATGGATCATAGCAATGCAATCTGCCTGTTTCAGAAGTTAAGAGGTGAAGAAACCCTGAGCTGGAAGTACAGCTCCTCAGTGACACAGGCACTGCCGCCTTAAGACCTTTCAGATATCCAGATATTCAGATATCCAGGCTAAATTTCCAGGGCTTTGGTCAACAAACTTCTCTCCTCCGGTAAAATGGGACCCTGCTGCTATTCTGTGTGCACAGAGAAGCACGCAGTCAGACATTATCTCATAAGCTGTGTGACTTTAGAAACCCAACCAAAAGAAGTAAAATACAACCTTCAAGTCAAGCCTCAACATTTTGTTTAACCCCGAGCAATTTATATTCAAGCTATTATTTATTTTTTCCTTAAATTAGGTGAATCTCGAGATAATTTGGCATTCGAAAAATCTCCTAAAAATCCATTTTTGATCTTCATTAACACCCTCCAAAATTCACCCGACAGGTATCTCTTGTCCTTTAACATTGAGCTGAACCTGAAAACGGACTCCAAAGAACTACAAGGAAATATTTAGTATTTCTGCATAAATTAGGTGGCTTCCAATGACTTTAAATAAGGGCAGGAATTTTACTCCAGGCATACCTTTTCTCCCGTAACAAATCCTGCAGTTCCTGCTTGCATCCATTCCTCTGAGTCCCCCTGGAGAGTAAGCTACCACGGGCCTGAAAAACTCAGTGCACGTCTTTCTGCTACCTTCAGGAGGCTGGATGAGGATTTTGTTTTCAGTTTGGACAAGTCCATCACCACCTATAGCAAGACTCAGATCATACACATGCACCACGCACACAGCCAGCTCTTACGGAGCAGATGATGTATGGTAAATTCATAAGCCAGCTTAATCTGCAACAACGTGCTCACTTGACCTTACCCTCAGGCACTTGTTTCTGCAAGAGGCAAGTTGCAAGCTGCCTATAAATGTTCCCAGCCATTTTTACGCTCCAGATTTAAAGACAGCATGGCACAAACTTCAGGACATGCAAGGAGATGCTCTGCCTCTCGAAGCACAGTCCTCTCCTATGGAGCGGAGCGCTCCTTTAGGACCTGGGACAATGTTTTAGCTATGCAGCATCCGGCAGTCTGCTATGGCGTGCTCTTTGTGGAGCGTGTGAATGAGTCCTAGCTCGGAGGGCCCATCAAGAAGGCAGTGGGCACCACCAGGCATATTTCACGTCCCCTGTTTTCCAGAATAAATGGCTCTGTGCCGCTGTCTTTCACCCTGCTCTATGTCCGGAGCAACTCCTCTGGAGGTGTGGGAGGTGCGGACGCACGTATAACACGGTTCTGGTTTGCAGGACAAACTCAATCTCAACCATGCTTTTCATTTCAAAAGGCTCAGTGAATCACTAACAAATACATCAGCCTTATACGTATGATGGTTGAAGCACATTCACACAGCTCATAACCGTGTCACGTACACGGCTACTGATCACAGCGCTGCTCAGAAGGGGAAGTGTCACACGGGGAAGCTGGATCTCGTGGCCCCGCAGTACTCTGGTTATTCAGACGTAGCAGCACAGCCCTGCCTTTGGGCACTGAAAAGGACACCGAGCTGACAGATTAGAAGTGAAACTGCGAGACAAACAGACCTCAAACCCAAGAACGAGGAAATACTTTTGGGGAGTATTTAGACGCTAAAATTGGACCCCAGGGCAATCAACAAATAAGAACCACAGCACAAGCAAGCGATCGCAAATTGGCAAAACCAAAATTCAAAAAGCAGCTCCGTGCAATCCTCTGTATTTATTCCAAGGAAAGGTCATGCTCTCCATCTTGCTTTGAAGAGCAGGCAGTGAGACATCACCGTTTTTCCAGTCCTTTCCTGTAGGTTTTTAATTGTCATTCCTTGCTCTCTTGCCTGATGTAATTTGGTTTTCCTAATTCACAAATCAGCATAAGCTAATAAAACTGTTTAAGAGACGGCAGCATTGTTCCTGCCTGAGTTGTTTCGTTGTTTGCTATTATCCCACAACTAATCCTTCAACTCAAATAAAACCGTAATTCATTTCCTCCTTTATTCTCCCACTGCATGAAATGGTTTTCGACAGGTTCAATCCTGCCCCGCCGCAAATGGGAAAGGCGAGGCTGGATCTTCCTGGAGCGTATGCGGTGCCAATTACCCGGTGCGCGTATCAGCTATCACGTCAGGAAACAACTTCCAAATGATTTTCAACAGGTCGAGCTGATTTTACACACAGAGGAAAGATTGTAATGGAAAAGGGAAAAAAAAAAGAGCCCACAAATACAAGAATTAACTATCCTTCCCATTTCGGATTTCAAGTTAATAGAAGCTTCTCCGCGCAAGTCATGCCAAACTTCACCCATCTGAGAACCTGCTGACATTTTGTGTGGTGTACAAAGGCTGCTTCTGAGGGGCTGAGTCATCTGAACGTTAATTGTTCCGCTACTTTAAAAAAGACTTAAATTACAATTATACCCACTTCAAGGCTTACAGCAAAGTACTATCACCTTAGCATGAAAGAGGCTTAGTCTGCGTAAGAGTCAGGCATCGCGCTAGCTTCTGATTAATGTCTCTTCCTCATCTCGAGCCAACAGTATCTGCAGCTCGATTCTCTGCAGCTTTGTCGTGTAAGCCAGCGCTTCCCATGGCTTTCTACGTGGTCCACAGCGAAATGCCCAGCTTCACCATGCCGTATCCCCAGTCTGTGCAAGGTGATAACCCCGTCTGGGTGTCGGGGAATGGTAAATCGAGCTGTCAGCACTTTGCACATCCTGGGGATCAGACAGCAAAGCGATCCATCCTGCCCCACAGCATGTAGTGGGGGCAGAATGTGTACCATGAACATGTCCTCAGGCTGTTCCAGCCCCATGCACCTCTCCTCGGTGCGTGCTGTTCCCAGTGCCAGTACTTACTGGAGAAACGAAGTGCTGCGGGATGGGAGCATCCGTCCGCAAACAGCAGGCAGAGAGGAGCAGGGTGTGGGGTATGGCTGTGTCTCACATCCTCCAGTGCAGTAGCCACCACCGAAGAAGATGATTCTGATCAAGCAGCCTAACTGTTAGTCATACGGCCAGCAGTGCCCCGAGATCTAGCCTACAGAAAGGCATTACTCGTCATGACCTCATCTGTCGTAGGGATCTTTCCCTACTGAATGCTCAGGTAAAGCACCACTGGTTTTAGCTTCACGTTATGCAAGCAGACCAGGAACAGGCTCTGTAAGACCTACAAGTGATCCGAAAACTGATGAGGGTTCATCAGCACGGGGGCAGCTTTAAACACAAAGATATTGGAGCCTGCTCCGACTTGCGCTGTCTGTTCGCGCGATGCCTAATAACACCGCAGACACAAAGCTGACGAGGACCTCTGAGACATCACCTTTGCACAAACAACAGCAAGCACAACCATGCTCATTAGCTGGATCTCAGCAATATCCAGTTGTTGCGATAAGACCTGAGGTTAAGCCGTGGTTAGCCCTGGGCCTCGCTGACTGGGCCTTGTCTCTGAGCTCTCCGAGATGCTCCCCACGAAGCGAGCGCAGCGTAAGGGAGTAAAAGCGAGCAAAGAGGTGGGCCGTGGGTGCACCACGATGCCGTCAGGTGAAAAGAAAACTCACATGAGCATGTCCAGGCTGTTTCGTCTAAGAAAAAACAGCACAGAACTCGAAGACGAAAAATACCATACAAATACGTCCGGTCAGATGTCACTGATGGATTTGTAATAAAAAGCCATCATCCCATTAACGTCAACATCCCCTTTTTGCCACTTTCTCATGGCTAGCAAAACAGGAATAGCGGGGAAGGGGGAAGATTTCAACACTGATTTACACTTCTCTTAGACTGCCAACTTTCCTCTTTCTCACACAGAGGTTTTAAGTGAGAACAACC